CTGTAAATGTCCCACTTTGCTCTGAATCCGCAATGCTGAACTGCTGCCTTTGTCGCTGAACTCTTAATATTACTCATTCAAATTTTCAAATTTGATTTCCGCCCCCCTCGAGTTCGGTAATTAATCCCCGATAATGATCGACTGGCGATATTTTTCTTGGTCTTTTTTCCACCTGATGGAATTAGCCTCGTTATAACACGAAAAGAGTGTAAAATGTTACCTAAACGCCATTTATTTTTAACGATAGCGTCCTTAAAACCGCTTTGCTTGATTGCAGGTGTAAAAAGAATTCACGATTCATTGCGAATACGGTGAAAGCTCTAGCGCTGCGTCACCGTAAAGACTTGCGTAGCAGAAACGGCGAATCTAGGCTGATTTTCCAGCGTTGCAAGTGCACATTTCCTAAACGATCCGGATTCCGGGAAAATCGTCCTAAGTAATCGTGCTGCGGGCTTCTACAGCATGAGTTCCTATATGTCATTCTTCCAGGTGTTCCAAAGGTGTAATTTTGTCACATTATGACCAGCGATCCGAAGTAATGCCAACCCACTTCACCCGATGATGAAGCAGTTCGTTTACATGCCGCTGTCTTAGTCTCAAATCGGATAAAGAACCGCTTAGTAACAATGAACTCCCGACAATCGACCCGGTGGTGAAGATTTGGCGCTGCTGGATGACCGGTATTTGCCATGCAACTGTGCTCAAAGACAGTTGTTTTGGAACCAGCTGCAACAGAGAGGCATCGCAACGGTAATTTTTGAAGTGGCTGACATCGACAGCAGTGAGCAGATTTCTTGTTGAAAATTCTATTACAATCAGTAGGCTTTAACCCAGATGCAAAAAAAACAGGTTTTTAGACTATTTCCACCTTAAACGATTGTTTTTAGGGCACTGCAATCTACCCGATTTGCGGCCGATTCAAGGGCAATCATATCTCACGTCATTAATTCTTCATCCAGACTCAGCTCAGCGGAGGCCTGACAGCGCTGAACTCCCATTATAGCACTATTGTGACTGAATGAACAGTGTCATAGCGCGCTATTTTCTTCAAAGCACGGGGAGGTTTTCCGATAATTCCGATCTTTGGCAGTAGAGCGAAATCGAACACTGCTCGCATAACTGAGCTAAGTGTAACCTTCTCCTTCCTTGACAGTCTGTGAAGCGGAACGGGATTTTCGGAGCGGCCAGTTCAGCACAGCTGAAGTCACAACACAGCAGAAGTTGAATCTAAATAATTTCGCAATTTCCGCTGGTTACCATTTTCATGATTCATCATATTATGTAATCTTTGCATGGTGAAATGACTCCATATGTCGCAAAGGGCTCTTTCCAGTGGCGTGAGGCGGACGGTAAGGCGCGACACTGGTCAGTGAATAAAACGACGACCAAAAGCTCACAAAACGTCTACCTTCTGGATATCGGCAAGCTGGTTGAAGCATGTGGAGGACGAAGGCCAGAGTTCACAAAAGTTGGCGTCCTTAATGAACTGCCTCCGAAACTTGCCACCAATACAATACGCACGGAAGAGTACAGTGATCGTAAGTGTAGGCGACCGCGTCGGCTTGCCAAAAACTGGGATCGCTTACGATCCGATGATAGTCACTACGCGACTGGCAGACGTCAAAGGGATATAATCAAGATTTTCACAACACCAGAATTCGGCCATCAGACGCGGTCATGGAAGTGCAGAAGATCGAATTGGAAAGTACAGTGCAAAAGGTGCCCACGAATAATCGCCCAAAGAAATTTCAGTGCCGCAGTAGAAAAGGAAACAACCGAGACAGAGCGTTTCATCGGCCACTTTGGAAGTAGAGAACGAAACGAACGCGGTTCCGAACGTAACCACCTCTGTATCATGAATGCCATACTTAAAAAACCGAGAAGCGGCAGTCGACGTGGATGGGCTCTAATGAACCGCTTTTTACCAAATCCGCTGCGTGCCAACGGACACACAACGAGTGTTACCAGGTGCCTCTGTCATTGGAGGAAACATCATGTGCACCGGGGCAGACTGATGATTACTCCATTCTGTAGCAACAATCGATGTCGCTAAAGAACAATGGGTTAGAAGGGCTCAAACACCGTCGGTCACTGGACGAATATTCTATTCTAATTCGTGAGACATTCGCAGACATGCTTCCTCAGACGAACCTTGCAGCAGGCATCGGCAGCAACATCAGTACTGACTACCAACACCTCCTCGATACCATCAAAACTACCATCGGATCATTCAGCCGTGTAGCAACGTCGACGAGGAAACAACGCACAAGCAATGCGACCAGGTAGCTGATGGCCAGAAGAGCCAGAATGAAGAGACAGTGCAGCTAGACGACGAGCACACTGCGCTGTGCAAACAAATACGAAAAAAAATCCGGGAGAACTATGACGAGTACGGAAGAATGAAGCGTTAAAAAAAGAATAACCAGAAGGCTGCGCAAAGCGACATCCTCCTAAAAGACGGACCCTGGCAGTACTAAAAGACGAAGGAGCAACAAGAACCACCGATAGCCGTCGCATGAAGGATACTTGCACGACAAACTCTAGTGCTCGAAGGCAGAGGCAAATCGGAAGTTGTCGCCGTTGACTTAGAAACCAATCTCAATATCACCGAGAACGAAGTAGAGTTGGCAGTCAAGAATAGCAAGAGCGGCTGATGTTCTGGCACGGTATAAAACCTGAATATCTCAAGTCACGAAGAATGATTCTGTTTAAAGCACTTGCTGAACGATTTAGAGAGTAATCAGATTGAAAAAGACGCCAGATGCATGAAAGAGCTGTTCGACGTTTCTTCTTCATTCAAGAAAGGGGATGCTGAAGACCTCTAGAGCTATCTACAAATCACTGTCCTGTCACAAGCCTACAAGGTCTTTACCTGAACCATTCTCAACCGTATCCGAAAAGACCTGGAAGTGCCCGCTACTAAAGAACAAGCCGGTTTCCAAACAGGGTTCTCCATCATACATCACATCCACGTCGCGAAATTGTTGAAAAAAAAGACAAGAAATACCAGTTAACCCTCTGCCACCAATCGATTTCAGAACAGCGTTTAACTCCATCGAGCTTAGCGCTACACTGAACTCCTTGCAGGGTTACGGTATCAACTGCAGTACACGTCGATTTGATCGAGGAATAGAATACTGACATGGCAACTGACAAAGCTGTTCGAAAAATCGTATCATTAACCTTCTGAATGGAGCGGTGGCATTAACACTGACGGAGAACGGCTCACGCATCTGTACGTTGCAGATAATGTCATGATTTTCGCCAAAGACCCAGTGGAACTCCAAACAAAGATCGCGCAGTTGCAGAAGGAGTCACTATCGCCCTGCTGATGAACACTTCCAAGATTAAATGGACGCCGAATGAGCACTGGCGTATGGGGGCAATTTTCACTGACAGCGCAGAAGTGAAAAACGTCGTTAGCTACGTAAACCTCGCCACTTAACAGACTCCAATATGGACATCAACGGCGAGATCAGCAGAAGAAGGAAGGCAGCATGGGCCAGTTTCAGTGACGTAAACGTATCGCCGCTGGATAACGAACTGTCCGTGCCGACGAAGAAATAACTGTTCGACTTCGCCATCCTAACCGTCATGATTTATGGTGCAGAGTGCTGGCCTACTACCAAAGCTGAGAAAAAGAATCTAATAGCAATATAAAAAGTGATGGAAAGAAAAATATGCAAGATCTTTCATTTCACTTTCCACGACACTTCTTTCGGTCCTCGGAGGCAAACGCCTCAGAGAATGCTGAGAAGGTCTCCAATCGTGACAGTGTTCCAATTGCGGTAAGTCGGTGATGAACATTACTTTTCGATGTACTCAGTGCCTTCTACAAACTTACCCGTCTGTAGGACAACAAGTGGACATCACGAGGTACCAGCTGGATCGTCTTTTACAACAGACATTCAATCGTTCGTCCACCAACACGTTCGGACGACTCTATACTGAAGCTAATTGGTCAACCGTGGAAGGAAAGGGCACAGAGCCGATAACAGTGATGCAAAGTCGGCTTGCCTCTGCGGCGCAGCCGTTGACGAAAACAAGCTGGATGGCATGACTGATCTTATATTAAGCAACAACTTTGATGGCCTGAAAGACGATGACAACAGCAACAACATAAACAAACATAAATAGCCAAATCCTTTTGGGTCTGTGAAGTTTCTGTTAAACATTTCATTTTCAATAATTAGTTGTAGATGATCTGTCGATTCATGAGGGTATCAATCAAGACTGATGTTAATACTCCTTTGCCAACGCGTTTAGTAACGCACGCCGTAGCATCGTCAGGGCTCAACTGATATCCCATGCAACAAGCCGCCTTACCTACGCAAAAACAATTTATTTTAACAAACACAGTCAAAACTAGAATGCCGATTCTCATCCTCATTAGACGCTAAAATTTGACATCTTTATTACGTACTCCAGACGAATAGATATTCAACGAGGACACCAGACAGTGATATGCCAGCACCACAGCTGCAACTGGACATCGAATCTGAACAGACTTATGTCAATTTTACCGTACTACGCCAGGGATTTGTGCCAATCAAACGAAACCTCAACAACACGAGATTTACGGTCAGCTACAAGTCCAGCATAACTGTCAAAGTGCCTTTATTTAAAAAGTATTTCGAGCAGCAAGGAAGAAAAGTTCTGCGTGGTCTACAACGTCAAGTAAGAAAGGTGCGCTAAGATATACAGCGAAAGGACCTATTGGAAATAAAATATTCGGATCAAAGAGCATTTATCCGCAGTCCTCCTCAGGTAGACTGGTTGGTCTGGAAATGCGAAAATGCCTTTTATCATTCGCCTGAATAAGTCATCATGAAATGACGAAGAACAGTGAAGCCTTGCTCATTTAATATAAGAGTCGCCATTTCGACAATGAAATATCGTATCTGATGCGATAAGTGAAAGCTTGGGTATCATCAACAGCCTGA